TGTGTGTGTGTGTGTGTGTGTGTGTGTGTGTGTGTGTGTGTGTGTGTGTGTGTGGGGGGGGGGGTGTGGCATTCTTTTGAGAGGAATCTTCTAGAAGAAATAGATGAAAGTAATCATTAGCGCGGTGATCTTGATCGTAAATTAGTCTTACAACCTTTTTTTGTTGTTGTTAATTGATGGTCGGAACTTGATTGGATAAAATGTTCTTATCATTATGGTTCAGCGGAAGAAGTGGTTCAATGGAGTTTTTTTGTTTATCAAAGGTGACGTTCTCATTCCCTTTGTGGTTGTCAAAGAGCAGGATCTTTGAATGACTGGCAAGTAGCTAGTTAATTGAATTAGAATTGAACACTCTTTTTGCAATCACTGTGAAGAAGATGTTGTTCACCTATCGACTAACTCTCTTCAGTCGGTTTGCTTTATCTATTTTTTTTAATTGACTCCTCACTCCTCCTCCCTTCCCCTCCCGTATTCCACATTTCTGATCCTCAATTTGCCCAAAAAATGATATTTCTGGGTTTTATTTCTCGTTTGGTCTTTTCACTCGAAGAGTTGAAATTTCGTGATTCGATACTTCATTCACGCATGATATATCACGGCACTTATAATGACCATACGCTTTGAGTGTCAATGGCTGCTATGGAGATTTCGAAAATTCTGTTTTTACTATTTCGTTTGTTATCAGAGATAGCGCGCTACATACTTTAGCAGGACATTATTATTATTAACCTCCTTAAAGTGGCGCATAGTCTGCACTTCCTAACGCGAAGACACGTCTACTTTCCAGGAGTGTTGAAACAATCGAGAATGCGTGAGAGTGTGTGGTTCATACATCTGCAGATTTGTTTTTTACTTTGGATCATGTGGCCTTTTGACCCTCGATTAAAGATCTAAATAGAGAATGCTAAAACTGGCCATTGTTATTAACTAAGTAACTTCTGCTGCTTGCGGTGATAGCTGGAATGTGTAAGAATTTTGAACTGCGTCTTATACTCGTACCAGGGATGTGTGATAGACTTACCTCCATGTTGTGCACCCTGGGCAAGGTATACTCATACGGCAAAAAGTCTATTAACCGACAGTTGACTTCTAACTACCATGACCGACTGTATGTCATATTCGGCCCCTTCCGCAGTACTCACCTCACCTTTTTCTCTACCTTTGTATCTGTCTATCTGTCTCTCTTACATCTGTGAATCACTCTTCTGTCCCCTCTCCAATTTTTCTCACTTTGATGTACCTCCCTCTGTGAAGCCCAAAGCCAACTAAGTGGCTAATGATGGCTATTCGAAACGGCTGACATTTGAAATAATAATATTCATACCATATTCCAGTGAAAGCTTCTTCACTTCATTAAACACAGCCATTTACGTAACCCAATGGAATAAGCATCCTCAGTACCTCCCTGTCTTTCAACTTGGAGCAGAAATTTGGAGTTATTTTTCAGTCAATTGGGTTTTGTTTTCTGCCACTCACAGACGGTAGCATATTAGCTGAATTTAGGAGAAATTTCCACTCCTGCTTTCTCTACAACATCTGTCAATATAAGCCTCGGGGGGAGATTTGATGGATAGGCACTTGGTCAGTAGTTCAGTGGATGAATTATTGGACTTGGAGGTGATGATAAAACTCGACCGCCCTATCCTACGCCAAAATTTGCAATGTCAGTTTTTTGGCTTAAAAAATACATTAAACCTATACTCGCCTTCCGACTAGGTCTCTGCTATGGTGGATACCGCAATTAAGGAGGGTGCCGTAGCAACGATTGGCGGAAAACAGGTGGCGAACGAATTTCGGGGACACTACTACCCTCCCACTGTTCTCAAACACGCTTCTGCGAACATGGCTTGTGGAAGGGAGGAGATTTTTGGGCCAGTTGCTTCTATTATCAAGTGAGTTCCCTTTCATCTACCTTCCACACCCCTCCTTCCCCCCTCCTAGCCTATACTTCAGTTTTCCTTTTGGGCAAATAGGTCATACTTTTGAAGTACTTTAGAACCGATGATTAGTATTCATATTGGTTAGGGCTTTTACCACGAGGTACTTTGAAGTCTTCGGTCAATAGGCCTTTTTTGTAGCACTGTTTGCACCAGTTTTTTTTCTAAATTCCTGTCGAAGTTAGCTTACTCCTCCTGCCAGTCTATCAAAGAGCGGCTGTTTTAACTGTAAATCTATCCCCTTCTTGATTGGTGGATTTATTTTTATTTATTCAAAAAGGCTGTAAATGCTAGTAAAGAGTAGTTCCTTAATTTGTACGACAAAGTATACCCTTTACAAGTCATTTATTTGTATCAAATGGCAGGCGTTTTGAAGTTATCAGTGGCCCTTTAATTGACTTCAGGCTTCACAGAGGGGAGGAGGAACATCAAAGTGAGAAAAATTCAAGAGGGGGGGGGGGGGGGCGAAGAGTGATTTGCAGATGTAAAAGAGACAGACACGATGATAGAGAGTAGGGTAGGGGGAGTGCTGTAGAAGTGGTGATGGTGGTTTGAAGTCAGAAGTCAACTGCCGTTTAATAGACTTTTTGCCGTAAGAGTATACATTGACCAGGGTGCACCACGTGGAGGTAAGTCTATCGCACACACCCCTCCTTTACAAGTCATAGTGTGTAAGGTGTTTCAAGAGAAACAGTGTGCAAATGACTTCCCTCGTCATGTAATTGAAGGCCACATTTTGTGGCAACACAACTTAGAGCACTAGAAGGCTAGAAGGCAGGAGAGAAGTTGAATTCGCTTATTACATCGGTTAAAATGGTTTGGGTTGTGTCGTAGGGACTTTTTTGCGAATTTTTTCTTGGGCAGACGTCTCATAAACGAATGAATGGGGGCGGGGAGGTGTGTCGGAATGTTCTCTATATTGAAAATGTAAGTCTGGAGGATACAATTTCGTCAAATTCGAGAGACACAGGGTGAATATAATGAATAATAATAGTAATAATAAATTCTCTTCCGATATAAAGAATACGTCTATAGACAAACGTGAGCAAAATTTATGCTGTCAACTTGAGGAGTTGTCAGTTTTTAAATCAAATTACTATAATTTGTATTAATATTGACTCACTTAAAAGTGAGCAGCGATTTTGCTAATTTTCACTCTTGGATGCAAATGGAGAGATTGAGAGCACCTGCTGGCAGTAGTTCTCCATACTTCAAAGTTAATCCCCACCTCTACATCTCCTCAGACCTTGTAGTGGAGCCCCGATATGGAGATCTGATTCGAATGCTCCGCTCCACTAGAGCTACAGTGGAGTATGTGAAACCGGAGATTCATATTTGCCACTTGGACTACCGAGCTCTCCATGCCCTCGTCCCGAAGGCTGAATCGAGTGGATTCAAGGTGGTGAGATGCATTCAGAAAGATTTTGGAGATAATACACTGGTTCTCAAATGATGGTGTCTTTTTGATCAATAGAATGAAATCGCTGGCGAATTGTATTGCATCGGAATTTTGAGAAGTGCTCGCTTTACTGTTTTTTTATCTCAAATATACGTGTGCCCAATGGGAAATAAATAAGCTTTTAAATTATTATTTATAGCATGGCATCGAAACGTTCCAAGCTCTCGGAGCTCTTGATTCAAGGGGCTTCCAAAACTGTTCCTCAGGAGTATAATTTTTTCTTTAGCTTGCTCTAATATACCAAAGTTCTTATTTCATGAATTTGTCCCTTTGCCGACCAAATGTTGAATCTAATTCTGTTATCTTGGTTCATATATATCCGTTAATTAATAATTTAAACTGGTCTCCAGTGGGAGCGGTTTTCACTTCACTTCTGTGTTGTATTGCATTGCGAGTATTTTGGATGGTGACACAGTGGTCGGAATATGCGTGCATAATTCAACGTACTGTTTACGGCCGCGTGTCCGATGCATATCCCACCATATCCTCAAACATGGCTATCTCAAAACACTCCCTTTAGGATACCCCGAAATTTATCAAGTTCTCCTAGTTTATTTCACGATTCGGGAATAACACCTTGCAGACCTTTGTAAATGCTCGGCTTGTTTGACGGATATTATACCGCAGTGTGTAATGCATTCACTACCAGTTCAATGGCCAAATTCATAGAAATCATTAGAAAGGTGGGCTTAGTTGCCAGCCCCCTGTTAGTCTTGAATAATTTAGAGCCTTTGCTGCGCCTTTGCTGAGATATTTCAGCCCTACCTTGACTTTGCTTTAAACTCGCATTCGAACCCTTTTCGATTTTCTCAGCATCTTTGGAAATGCGGTGATGGCGAAAAAAAGTAGCCATTTATTATTTCCATTTGAAGCCGAGTTTTTTGTCTTTTTTGGAGAAAAGATCAGTTAATTTATGCCTCAAGGAGTCGCTTTGTATGCTTCAACTTTCTCCCCAACTCGAGTTGTCGTTTACATCCTCCCAACATTTGATATTGTTGTGGGCATTTGTGGGGTTAGTTTGTTTTGGTGAAGTAAATTTGCATTCATCGACATTTCTATCGTCGAATATTTCAAATTTCTTTGGCAGACCCTGTAGTGGTTATCGAGTACTCGCTCCACCCCTCCCCCCCCCCCCCCCCCCCCCGNCCCCCCCCCCCCCCCCCCCCCCCCCTCCCTCCAGTCTTTGATTTCGCAGAATTCGTCTGTAATTTAATTTGTGATTTGAGGCTATTTTATGCTATTGTAATTTTTTTCTTTTTTTTTAATCCCTTTATTCAACCCTGTGAAAAAAATTAATCTGATCCTGTGTTCACAATTGTGCTTCGCATTTGCTCCATGTCTCAATGCGTATCGTTGTTGAATTTATAGCTTTTACCACGTTTTGCAAGGGTTTTGGCCTTACTAGAATTGATGGAATTCCATTGGCCAGTAAAACATGCCTTCATAAAGTGGGATTTTCAATTCTCCCATTTTTTCAACTTATTTTTAAGTTTTTCTGGTTCTTTTTTTAACTGCTGATGATCGTTTCACCTCGTTTCAATTTGGCTCATATGACTGTGCCTGTTTGTTTGTTTGTTTGTTTATAAAGCAAAAGTGTCATTTTGTGATGTTGTTTTATAGGGCTGGGGAAAACGAAGTGTGAAAAGCGAAATTCCCTCTTTTTTATAAAGCTCTAAAATTTGGTTTTAAACTTCAGGAATCACTGTTTCTGTCACTCTTTAATTCTCAAACGTCCATTTGACAACTAGGCCATTATCTCCCTACCGCACTGTATATATATACAGAACGAAAGCGCGAAAAATGGGCGGAATACATCGTTTGAGTCATTTACCTTCTGGTGGTTTCAGTGCGTGACTAAGTCGCCTTGTAGCTAACATTGTTATAATATGCAGTCATGGTGAATACATTTCTTGACTCAAGTTTTCCCATTATTCCAACTCATCATTTGTCCTTAATATCCACACACGCGGCAGTGTTTGAGTTGTCAAACGGCATACAAGTCAATGAATAGCGCCTTACTTCATAATTTTCGTGATCTTCCACGGTTGTGGTGTGTGGAATCGCCATATCAATGATGTTCAATTGATATTGCCCTTTCGTCCCATGACACTGCTTCTTTTCAGTAGGTTCGCCTGCTTTTTTGAGCAGAATTATATCATCTATTTATTTCAATTGCAGGCGTTTTGATAGTTATCATTAGCCATTTAGCTGCCTTCGGACTTCACAGGGGGAAGGAACATCAAAGTAACAGCAAGTCGAGTGGTGGGGAACAGAAGAGTGTTTTACAGATGTAAAAGAGACCGACACAAAGGCAGAGAAAAGGTAGGATGAGTACTGTGGAAGTGGTAGAATATAACATACAGTGGGGTGATGGTGGTTTAAAGTCAGAAGTCAATTGCCAGTTTATAGACATCAATTTGAACCTTATTTTGGGGCTACAGCTTTATTGACTGCGGAATTTGGGTGGTTTTCGACCATCGATTCTTTCATAATGTCCCATCATAATTCACTGCGTTTCCAACCTCCCCCCCCCAATCGCTTTTAAGATTTATCTTCACCCTTGAGATGAAATCGCTGTTAAGTACGTTGGTGAGTAAGTGGCAGGGGGGAGGGATTATTTAAAAATAATTGTGGAAAAAATAAATTTCATAGTTTATTTCGCTGCCAGTCGTACATTGAGCATAGGGAGGGAGTGGGTCGGGGATGATCATGAAAGTGGTATCATTATTCCTTTCGTTGTTTCATTTGCTTAACTGGGAGGTGAACTGGCTCAAGTTTTGCTTTCCCAAATTTTTTTGAATTTATTATTGGAAACTTAGCCTTTTTTCGCTGAATTGTGAGCTGAAGAATTCTAATTGGTTGGCAATATTGATTTTAACATAAACGTTTTTGGAAACGCGATTACCAACCTAAATGTTTTTTTATTTAACTTTAAGTGCTGGAGTATTACCCAATGCAAATCTTTTAAACTTGGTTAATTCTATATGTATCCTTTCCCTCTTTGTAGGAAAATATATTGTAGAACTTTTAGTGTAATGTTGAAAAATAGAAGTGCAAACCTTTATTCTTGTAAATCGACAATTGTGCCTCCATATTGACTTCAAATTGAATCCGCTATGCCGTAAAAAGAAGTCCTAAAGTGTATTTCGAAGCGAGAAGATAACGCTGAGTGTAAAGCATGCGTTCGCTCAATTTGTTTTGTGGTTTGACTTTCAATGTGCTCTCCGATTTATGAAGTAAGAAGGCGGCTTGTGGTAGACCTTGACCTTGTGCACTATCTGCGTCTCTTTTTCTTCGCTCGGCTTCAAAGAATTTTGTCAATGCAGTAGACTTGTCCATTTTGATCTGTCCTCTTGCTGTGTGTGTGGATAAATGGCTCTTACATTTGGGGCAAAATCTGATAAATTTTGTGAAGAAGAATGAGAGTGGCACGTTTTCTCTCACTCTCTCTCTCTCTCTCTCTCTCCCCTTATCGGAGATTTTGAAAATTAAGTTAAAGTTTGGTGGATTTTCCGTCTGTCTGGCAGGCATTTCTCACGCCTTCCCTGAATTCATGGAATTATGCTCTCTGTGAATCCATCATTGAGGCGTCATATTTATTATCGATTTATGAATTTGAGCCGTTTTATTATTTTCAAAGAGAGACGTGGGGGGGGGGGGGTTGGAGAATTCAATTCTTTGTGTCCATTGTTTAACTATAATATTTTTCCGCATACCCGTGTTATTCATGCATTGATGTGAGCTCTCATATGTCTATCTTTACCATCCAGTCTCTTCGTCTCTAGGAGACATTCATTATTGATAAATGCGACATCCAAATCCATTAATGTCTTGTTTTTTTTGTCGGGCATTCTGCTTTTAATGCACTATCTAATTAATCAAAGGCAACACGAACCACTAATGCAGAGAGTACACTGTTGTCGGCCATTGCTTGATCCTTTTTTCTTTCATCATCAGGCTACTTAAGACCTCACAGTTGGCCGATATTATTATTATTATTATTTCAAACGGCGGTCGTTTTGAATAGTTATCATTAGCCCTTTAGCTGACTTCGGGCTTTACAGAGAGGAGGAGGTGGAACATCAAAGTGACAAAAAGTCGAGATGGGGGGGGGTGTGACAGGATAATGATTCACAGATGTAAAAGAGGCAGGGAGACACAAAGGCAGAGAAAAGGGAAGATTAGTACTATGGAAGAGGTCAAATATGACATGCAGTGGGGTTATGGCAGTTTGAATTCAGAAGTCAACTGCCAGTTTATAGACATTTTTGCCGTATGAGTGTCTATCGCGCACCCCCCCCCCAGTTGGCCGATATAAATCTTTTCTTTAAGCAATTGAAATTGCCAATAAGGATCGGATTCATGCGCCAAATCAGTGGCGTCTACAAAAGTTGATGTCGTTTCAAAACCACTTGGCTAATCAGATCCCTGGTAAACTGTGGAAACATCCACCACACAAGCTTGAAGCCCATCAGTAAATCGGATGGAGTTGCACTTTGAGTGCTTCCACGGCATATTGTTACAAAGATAAGGAGAGAGAAATGTGATCATGTCTTTGTTGTTGATGCGAGGAATTCATCCTTTTTGCATCAACTTATTATTATCGTGGAGAAGTGAATCTTCTTCGACATCGGTAGGTTGGACACAAACAATGGCTATCTCGAAATCAACTACCTATTCCACCCCCCCCCCCCCCCCTATACAAGGTCATGATTGACCATTCGAAAACCTAGGCGAAGCAGTTATACCCGAAAATTTTGTTCCCAACAACTGGGAAACTCATCCAGTAGCTGAAAGATATACGTGGAAGATTATTTAACAGGATAAAGTGGATACTCCTTCAATGTGGCACTTGCCAACCTCAACCCCATAGTAGAAGAGTGATCTCCCAAGAAATGCAGGAATTCAATCGAGTCCTCTGACGTCGCATTATCCTTTTATGACCTTTTCAGGTCTCCGGGCATACCCTACAAGCAAAAAAACGTGTTCAAATTGTGTTATTGAAGTCGTAAACCGCATGAGCAAGTTTTCAAATTAAAAAACACCACCTTTAAAAGAGTGGAGATGCAAACGACTGCGGAATTTATAATACATATGGTATCGTTTACCTAATAAAAGAAATATAAATGGCATTTTTGGTACATGATTTCTTTCTGCTCCCCCCCCCCGCCCGCCTCCCTCCTCCCCACCTAGTATGCCAAAGTCTGTGTGATGACAAGTTGACAGTTGGTACTTAAGTAACCCTTAAAACCTGCATGAATTGACATTTACAATTAGATTTAAGTAAGCAGGATGTTTCTCTCTCTCTCTCTCCCTCTTCCCAGTCGTGTTCTTATTGGCTGACTAGAGCGTAAATACTTTGTCCTTAACCTATTTATTTGCATGTAACGATAAATTTATTAAGTCTCTTGGAACCACATCTTAGTGCCTCGGATCATGTCAAAATGACCATGAAGCAATGTCTAGTTTTGAAATTCCTGCTATTTAAATAGCGGGAATGCCGTTGTATACTCGTATAATATCGTTTGCACAGTTCTCTGTTTGAATTCGGATAATTAATGGCTTAACAATAATTCTGCATTATTTTCTCAAGAATGTGGTAATTTATGTGCTCTTTGATCATTCCATGCTCATGGTATATGCTCTGAGATCACCTGCGCATCTTACTTCGTTTTTTGGATTTTCGTGATTTCGTGGCTAATGACTTCCTACTTAATTATTTACATGTGTACCTAACCGATATCTGGTGTGGAGATGAGAACCCACATTTACTAGCATTTTCATTAGTTACGGCGCTTCATTTTCTCATGAACTGTTCGATTAAGTGCATATTTACGGTAATTATCCAAGCCGATAGTGCAATAAAATGTATTTTCTTGAAATTTTACTTTGAAAACAAAATCGGGTTGGAAATAATAGTTGGCTCTTTTTTTATAGAATAGAGGAGTTTTACTTGGATTGAAATTGTGAGAATTGGGGCAGGCCCTGTATCACCACCATCAAGTCAACCCCTGTTGGAGGAAAGTTTGATCGCACTTTTTTTTGTAAAAATTTTGCCATCTTCTACCGGCTTTTGATGATTTTTTGTTTGGATTTCGTGGTGATCGACCCACCAGTTGGCATTATCGATTTTAACAAAACTTGAAGCATTGTAAAAGTTCGAGGGGACAGCACTAGGGTTGTCATACGGCTGCTAATAAATGAGGGAGTGGAATTATGGAACGGGTCTAAGGTGACTCGATTACTGGTCACCCTCTTTTATTATCTAAACTTAAATAATGTTATCACCCATTTCGCTAATTGGTTGTGTGCTGATGGGAATCGAAGTGGGCGTTTATTCTTGCATTTGGTTGAATTCCAATTAAAAACTATTCAATTAGTTGGGTGCAAAAAGAAAATTTATCATGAAAATTTTATCTCCATATTTCGTACTTTGTATATGCCCTTTGTGGGGTGTGTGATAGACTTACCTCCACGTCTATTAACCGGCAGTTGACTTCTCACTTCAAACTACCATCGCCCCACTGCATGTTATATTTGACTACTTTCACAGTACTCACCTCACCCTTTTTCTACCTTTTCTACCCTCGTCTTTGAAACACTCTTCTGTCCCACCCCCTCTCTAGACTTGTTCACTTTGATGTTCCTCCTCCCCTCTGTGAAGCCTGAAGTCAACTAAAGGGCTAATGATAACTATCAAAACGCCTGCCATTTGATATAAATAAGTAAATTTATGCCCTTTGTTAAGTGGTGACCTCTTTGTATGCGTTCAATTTGAAGGTGAAATGTTCGAAATTGTGACATCTATTCGTCCTCAATTTTGCCTTCAATGCAGCCTGTTTGTTTAAAAAGGGCATTTATGACTATCGATTCTTAGTATTGTCTATTTAACGCTAAATTTTTTCATCCAAATTTACTGGACAAAAATTTTGAGCATTTTTGTTTGCTTCATGTTTTTTTTCACTCCGCTTCCAGTTGATGCGCTGTCTCAGAGTTAATCCATCGCTCAAATTTTGGCAATTTCGCATGCTTCATGAATTCTTTCCGAGGATCACATTCCACTCCACTAACAACTCAAAGTACTCATCGTTTAGTAGCCTATCTACTCAAAAAGCGGACACATGTACAAAGTAATGGTAACATACTGGAGCAATAAACTCCTTTACCTGAAGCTTACAGTCACGAACCCTCTCACCATAATTAAAATGTTAGATTATCTATTTTTTTTGAGTGAGGTGATTGTGTTTATCGGTGGCAGTAAAAAATAATTATTTGTGGAAGTTTCGATCATATGATAGCATCTGAGCACGCAGAGTTGCGGAAACTTTCCTTTCAGGGGTGAAACCGGGCGATTTGGGGTGGGGGAAGGGTGGGTTGTTCATTAGTAGTGTGTTGTACTGATGTCAGAAGGTAAATATTCCAAAGCTCATTTGTTCTTGGTCACCAATGCTCAGGATTTTGTTGGAACTTCCATTTTTACCCGAATGCTTTATCCTGCCACTTTGATTCCTATCTTCTTACAGTAGATAGTAACCACGCAAGAAGGCTTGATATTAATTTTTCTGGAAATGTTCTGCAGTTGGAAAGGTATCACTGTGCTAATATTTGACATTCGACTGCATTTTGTGGTTTCGTATCTACAGACTATAATTTATGAGCATCAATCCATTTTGCAGTTTTATTTAATGGAAAGTAAATAAAATACTCTCCGGTTAATTCAATTTTGCCTAATTTGTTCTTTGGGCAGTTTTGTTAAATAGCTTAAAACATTTTTATACAGTAAAAAATGTGATTATTTATTTTATTTATAAGAGGAATTTGCGCCTATGGGGAATGGGGGGGGGTGAATTCGCGATTGAAGAAAGGAAGAGACGAACGGGTCTGCCAACCTTTTGTGATGGAATTCGATTGGAAATGGATGTTTGTCTACACTTTGGTGGTGAATTTTGAAAAGATTCACTGACCTTGGCAATTAACATGAAATTCTCCTTTTGGTCATTCCTCAAGTGCACTTGAAACTTTTATCAACTCGGCATTCCCTTGCATGCAATTGGCACACTCCATAGTGGGTGGTCATTTAGAAATCTTCGGTTCATGCGATTAAGTTGTATCATCTGTAATGCATATTTTTTCTCCAATTATTGCGTAGATTTAGTTCAGAGGATGAAGCGGTGGCCTTGGCTAACTCGACACCCATGGGTCTCGCGGGCTACATGTTCTCAAGAGAAGTCGGGCAATGTTGGAGGGTTGCTGAATCCTTGGAATGCGGTCTTGTCGGAGTGAACACGGGTATGGTGAGTACACCAGAAGCTCCATTTGGAGGTATCAAGCAGTCTGGAATTGGCCATGAAGGTGGACCCGGAGCTTTGAAGGAATTCATGAACGTCAAGTATATGTGTTGGAGTGGTCTGGAATAAACTCTATCTCTCTAGTCTCCTTCCCTATGTCAACCCATAACCCCAACTCCTCTTTCTCTCCTCCCTGACTTTTTACTGGCTGACCAATTTCGTCGCTAACATGCCTTTGGGCTTGAAGTCGTTCATCTTTCGTTTTTTTTTCACTTATTAACTAAATTTGCTAAGTGTGTAAGATGCATGTACATTGAACCGGCGCTTTCATTCCCTCTAGCTACGAATTTTCTATTTCCAGGATTTTGCTTTGGATGTTATATCCAAGGTATCATCGATACCCTATCGTCTTCAACGCGAAGCTCTTGCTGAAAAGAATGATCTCAAACTGGTTAAGTCTATTTGATGTGGGTAAAATAAGGAGAACGTGCCTCTCACTTGATTCCTAATCGAACATCTATATCTAGTGGGGAATTCGGAGTGGAAACGGATCGGTTAATACGGAATAATGGCGCACAAGTTTCGAATATATTTATTTACGTATTTCAAATGACAGGCATTTTGATAGTTATCATTAGCCCTTTAGTTGGCTTTGGGCTTCACAGAGGAAGGAACATCAAAGGGAAAAAACGTCGAGATGGGGGGATAGAAGTGTGATTCACAATTGTAAAAGAGATAGACAGACACCAAGAGAGAAAAGGCAAGATGAGTACTGTGAAAGGGGCCGAATAAGACATGCAGTCGGGTCATGGTTGTTTGAAGTCAGAAGCCAACTGCGGTTAATAAAACTTTTTGCCGTAAGAGTATACGTTGCCCAAGGAGCACCACGTGGAGGTAAGTCTATCGCACACCCCGGTTTCAAATATAGCCTTATTTATTGTTGTTAAGGTGGGTATAGATTTCCACAAGTCTCAGCTGCTGTAACAAGACTAGCATTAGAACTGCTTAGTTATCTCAGCAAATGGAAACTTAGAATACGCCTATTTTGATGGAACACGAGTGAACCAGAGTTTCTAGAGCAGTATGGTAATCAAATTTTCTAAAGAAATGCTGAAATGAAAATGCTTTTAAGGGTACCTACTGAGATCAATAAGTAAAGTGCAACTAGGAAAGGACTAGTCCATTTGATGGCAGTCATGGTTGCGAAGAGTGATACGTATGGGCAAGTTGGGTCATGATTAGCTTTACTGATTCAATTCCACTAAGATATGTTACATTATATAACAAGGGTGCACCTTATTAACCTTCATCTCGAAAGTAGTCAATTATTTTGGAGAAAGTACATTTTTTATACAAATGGTGTACTTTATGGCTGGAATGCTAATTAGGCGAATTCCTGCAGCCATATCCAGCCAAGTGACATGAAACCAAATTCGAATGAGGATTAAAAACACGCTATCAGTATCATTATCTGCCATTCCAAATGATTTCTTTTAGACAAATTTTTGTTCAAACAATCCACTTAAAGTAATCTCTGAAATGCAGAATCTTGTCGACGGCTGGAATATGGGTGGAAAGAAATTGTTGTACCATATTTGTCAATCCTTTTTACGTACACAGATCAACGTTTTTCCGATTATCTATCCACTTCTCATCCTTTTATTTTGTTTATTACAAAGTTCAAGATCAATTGGGAAATTTCAGTACAAATAGCATCACGAGCTTAATTCGCGATCTCAAACCTTATTACCATTGATACTCTTTGTAACTTTTCAAAGTGAGTAATAATGTGGGTCTCGGGGTATTTCAAGATCCTTTTCCTCCTTCTTCGTGCACCTACTTTCGAGGAAATTGCCAAGGTCACTCGATTTGAGCTCTGGCAGGGATCTTCTTCACACTGTTATAAAAAGTTAGCATATTCTATCACCACGTTGACAAGAATCGATATTTGTGTTTAGTCGACTGTGCATTACCCTCTGAGCAAATAGGTGAAGTGGCCTCTGAACTGACGGGCCTACAAACTGACCAAGACGGCATCACTTATTTATTATTATTATTTATTTATTTATTAGTTGAACGAAGTCACTGCTGTCGCGCTAGCAACTGCCTTTTTTTAATTAAAATAAAATTTAATAGCCATTTCATTAAAATTAACCTCATTGCTTTATTTTCGTCGGGAATTTCTGAAGCTACTCCGCAATCACATCCCTCAGACTTGCATAAAACCCGATAGCCGATTTTTATTTCACACAGTGATATCATGTGATCAGAATTTTCGAAATGGGCGCTTTCACTAGGTAATGCGTTTCACAGCATTTTGTTAAGTGCCTAATTTCATTTGCGAAGTGCGAACTGGTGGGAGCGATATCAAGTTGTGTTTCGGCGCTCACCATAATCTGAGTTAATTTACCTTATTGCTAAAAAACCTATACTTGCAATCGGGAAAAGGAAATCAATAATTTATCGTTAATGGTAATTAAAATTTACCTTTGTTTAAATGTTTGAAATTACAGGCACTTAAGTGGTATCACTGAGTCCTGAGATATGCGTGATAATTTCGGAGTTGAAATAAATTATAACAGTAACCTTGAACGATTTTGGATAATTCAATGCCGACCATTTCCTTTGAACTCAGAATAGAGAAGTTGATCGTGCATTTTTTTGTTGGTTCTTCACTCAACCATATCCATTGTCTTTTATTCCCTGAAATGCGCATTAAAAACTTTCACCGCTTTGCAGTTGTGCCTGCTTCTACATTACTCACTTTTCGATCGTCCATTAGTCATCACAACGCATCAACAAGATGACAAGAGAGGACAGACTAGTTTGTAGCGAAGCTAATTGTGAAAGAACCAGAAACAGAGAAGGCATGGAGTAGGACTACGGAATGTGTTTGGGTTTATTAATAAAGTGGATGCATACTGTTCAGTCACATCTCGGAGTATTGTCAAAAGTCGTATGTGTGTCCTCGTCAAGTGATCACAGTAGGTGTGACAACAAGAAGTCCAATGTCACATGCGAGTGCGACGATTAATCATAACATGAAAACTTCCAGTGGTTCCAATGGCATATGCATCTTCAGTTGGTATTCACGACAAGAATGAACGAATAAGAAGTTATTCGCTACTGCACACTGCTTTGCTAAAATGCGTGTAAGGTTTACTGTTGATGTTTCATTACAGGAACATTTACCAGACGCATAAGAAGAACATCTTCCAATTATACAACTTACGAAAAATGAGACAAGAAGTCTTGATACCACAATACATATTTTTCGAAATCCTGCTGAAACTGCCCTTTTATAACGAATGTGTGGAATCTTCACGCCCACTTTTTCAAATGAATTTGTTTACTAAATTGAGCACAAAGGGTACTAGCAGCCTAATCGTGGAACTTTTCTAACACCGTTGCTGAAGTAAAAACAATTCAATTCTCAAAAGTTCGTTGAACACTTCAGCGTTAGGTCAAGAGGCTTGTGACCCTTCAGTACTACAAGTATGATGTGGCCAAACGGTTCAGAAAACAGAGATGCAAAGCTTCACCTTGGAAACATAGTGAATAGTTAATTGATACTTTCTAATAGAGGGCTGAGTATTTAACCATTTAAATTGCCCTCTCTACGTTATTTTATATTTATTTATTTATCTCAAAAGACAGGCGTTTTGGTAGTTATAATTAGCCCGTTAGTTGACTTCAGATCTCACAGAGAGGAGAAGGAACATCATAGTGAAAAAAATCGAGAGGGGGGTGGACAGAACAGTGATTCAAAGATGTAAAAGAGAGACAGACACAAAGGTAGAAAAAAAGATGAGGTGCGTACTGTGAAAGTAGTTGACTATGACATGCAGTGGGGTGATGGTAGTTGGAAGTGAGAAGTCAACTGCCGGTTAATAGACTTTTTTACCGTATGAGTATACGTTGTCCAGGGCGTACCACGTGGAGGCAAGTCTATCGCACTTCCCCTTACTTGCAACATAAATTCTAACTTCAACATTAAAACATAATATTTTTTCAGAAAGTAATAATTTTACCAATTTTACTCTACCACGTAGAATAATGTAATAATTTAATTTATTTATTTAATTTTGGAAATTTTATTGCATGAAATATCAATAGGTGTTATATGTACATTTTTGCTGCAATTTTTTTTGTGTTAACTCATCTCTCTGTGTTACCAGTGGACACAGCACGTGATATTCATGCAGGATATTTCACTTGCATACTGGTGACAACAGTCATTACTATTTAATAAACATAGCCGTAGTTGAATATGCTAACTTTTGTTTTCAGAAATAACATGCTGCGTTCGACTGAGGCGTAAAAAAGGCCTCAAATGACGAATAAGTTTTGTTTTGACACAATTTAATACCAGTAAAAATATCAAAATGGGTTTTAATGCCAGTAGAGTGTATAAAATATATACCGTTTGGGTAAGCTTTGAAAGTCCTTTATTAGACTGGGTTCAAGAGCATGTCACCCTCAAAACATCTTTGTACTTATGAGCCCTCCAGATTATTTTTTCAAGTTAAATTAAAAATACTGCTAATGGAACAGATAAGACGATATCCAACAGCTCTGGGAAAATGCTGATACACATTCCTTTTGAGCTGTGTAGCAAAGCATATAAGTAAATTCTTACTCAAAGTTCTTGCTAGCTCTCTTTCCAAAATCCACTCAAAACCTACTCCCTATTGACCTTATAATACCGTTATGCAATCTTCATTGGTTATTGGGAAATTATAGCAAAATTTTTTAATGACACTGAACATGTGAACTTGCCAATTCCCCTGTCACTTAGAATTCCCCTATTATTAATACGCGGAAAATATTATTATGAGTCC